AGCTACAAGTGTGAACGCACCCTCAATGCACAAACACAGAGAGGGGAGTTTCAAATAGCATGTAGATACAGAATTCATTCCTCTTTCATATTTTCTTGAGCTTGAATGGACATATACACACAAGTCAAAACACCTGTCTCGGCAAGTGTTCTTGTAAAAACAGTTGGCTGTGTCTTAAGTGAATTCAAACGGCTGAGAAAGAAATCGGCTGTGTATCATTATATTTGATCTGTCCATCAGGTCTTAAAGTGACAACAGCCTATCAATACTTGCTCCTGACAATGTCATTAACATTAATAAAAAATACATAAATTTAAAAAAATACAGTTTTAACAAAGATTAATTGGTAACACTTCAGTATTTGACCAATTCTCACTTTTAACTAGTTCCTTATTTGCTTGCACATTACATCATCATTACATCATATTGACTGTTCTAATAAAGCACATATTAATGTCTTATTCTGCATGACCATAATGTACATCCCTTAATCCTACCCAATACCTATTTTTAAAAACTACAACAACTATCTTACTATCTATTAATAAGCAGTAAATTAGAAGTTTAAGGCAAAGATTGTAGTTAATAGTTAGTGTTTTCCATACTAAAGTGTTACCGATTAACCTACATTTAATTTAAACAGTAAACACTACAGTGTTATTTTACTTTTTATTAAATTTTGTACCTAAATACTTCCATTAAACCTTACTTTATTTGTAACTTGTTTGTAATTAGTATATTCTTATTTTATTACTGATCATTTATTCGTCTTTAATAATGTTTGAAATTTATTAGACTAGAAGTTTTTGCTGTGGTATCAAAGTACTTAGAGACTTGCTGCCACCTATTGGCAGTTTTAATTTCACATTTAAAGTATCCTTTCATATTTTAAATAATTTCAAACATCATTATTTAACGTTTTACGTTTAAAATGTCAAAACACTATTTATATAGTGGTGTGAAAAAGTGTTGGCCCCCTTCCTGATTTCTTATTTTTTTGCATGTTTGTCACACTTTAATGTTTCAGATCATCAAACAAATTTAAATATTAGTCAAAGATAACACAAGTAAACACAACATGCATCAGGAAGGGAGCCAACACTTTTTCACACCACTGTATCTGTAACTGCTCATGATTGAATAACTTTAATGAGGGTTAATCTGTATTTGTACAGTGAGGTCTATGCAGTGTTATTTTACATTTGATCACTATTTCTGTATGAGAAAAATCTACCGTTTAGTCCTACATGAAAAAATTGAAAAGCACTCTTTATTTTATTCATATGTTTGTTCTGTTGTATTTATTTGTGTTGCTTCTCATAATTTAATTATTTATTCTTATTTTATAAATGACTGTTTACTTTTCCAACAATATTTAAAATGAGTAAGGCTAGTAGTTTTTGGTGTCAAACTCATTTATTAAAGTTATATGTACCAAAAACAATAAACAGTAGGGGTGTAACAGTACACAGAAGTTACGTTTCGGGACATACCTTTGGGGTACTTTTGGTTTTGGGGTCACTGTTTAATATAAACTCGGTACAATAGGAAAAAGCAACAAATATACAAAGCTAGGTTTAATTTTTTATTTTCTACATTCTGGTGATCTTATAATAAAGGCAAAAAATGCCAAAAAAAAAATTGTTTTAAAAAATACAGTTAGAAAGGAAGTGTCTGTGACCCATTAAAATAAATAAATACTTAAAATGTATTTCACTTAAAGGAGTCATATGATGCGATTTCAATTTTTCCTTTCTCTTTGGAGTGTCACAAGCTCTTGGTGCATAAAGAAGATCTGTAAAGTTGCAAAGACTAAAGTCTCAAATCCAAAGAGATATTCTTTATAAAAGTTAAGAGTTAACCACGCCTACCTAAAACGGCTCGTTCTAACATGCCCCCACATATCTACCTCACTATGTGGGAAGATTTGCATAATGCCTCCCAAATGTTAATGTTTTTGTCTCGTCGCTCTGGCCGGACACGGCATCACAGTCTGGTGAGGAGCGTAACATTTCCGACACATGCTTGAGGTATTCGGCCAATCACAACGCACTGGATATCTGGCCAATCACAGCACACCTCACTTTTTCAGACCGATGAGCTTTGTAAAAATCGACGCGTTTCAAAAAGGCGGGGCATAGAGGAGAAACAATAATGTACAGTATGTGGAAAATAATGTGTTTTTTAAACTTTAAACTGCATAAACATATTTCATTACACCAAATACACAAAATAATGTTCTTTTTAGCAGCATCATATGACCCCTTTAATTAATAGAGATTAACATAACAAAAGTAGTAGCTTATATGTTGAATTTCAGGGTCATTTTTGTGACAGAAGGGAAACTGAGACGGCAGAAAGAGACATCCTATCTATTTTCTTTACTTTACAAAAGCACAATGTTTTGTTTTTATTGTGAGTTTACACAAATAAAAGTAGATTCTTTACAATTACCAATGGTGTCTTTTTTTCGGTATGACCATAAATTACAGAGTATTTTAAATTGTTTCTGCTGGTATAAGGAAACCGATCAAGTGATCACGCCGGCGTCTCACGCCCACACAACATGTCAGTAACAGCACATTGTTGAAATGCGACTGAAGTACAACGCCTATAATTTACATAAATAATAGTTTAGCATTCAAATACATCATGAATATGGAAATATTATGGAATAATTGGATTTGTGCCGAATGAGAGGTAGGCTAGGTGAGCACAAAGCTCCATTTTGCAAAAAGTTAAGTGTGCAAGCCTTTCAAAGTATACTCCTTTGACCGTGAGAGACAAATTCAGCATATTCTCACTATCTAGTGGACTTTGTTTTCTAGTGTTCAAGTTAAGAATTTGCTGCTCTTCTTCTGCTCTCTATACTGTTGTGGCAGTTATCAAACAGTGTTGCATTACCATGCGCACCCCCTTCTGGATGCCTGTGACTGACTGTATTTGTCGTCCGTCTGCATGCACCGAACCATGACAGACCAGAGGCCTGTTTCATAAAAGATGCTAAGAAAAGCTGGGATTAAAATCCAAAACCTGACTTGAAATAGCCTAACAAATCAATCGGGGGCTAAAGCGGTTCCATCAATGGTATTTAAGTTCACGCAATCTCACTAATTTGACCCAGGTTCAGTGAATTAAGAAAATTTGATATGTACGTTTATTCTCAAGCAGCCCTTAATGTCGATCATAGATCAAATCGATCCACCACGGCGAACAGTGAATATGTTTGTGCTGTTTAATGCATTTGAGACGTGTTTTCCTCAGTGCATAACTGACAGGTATATTCACAGGTATATTCTACATGTGTAAATGTTCGAAAGTCATGCAAATATATTCATTTTGCTGTCAGGAGTGGTCGAGGTTTACGCGAGTGAACAAGCGCTGCTGAGTGCATGCGCGTTAAACAGACGGGGGGGGGGGGGGGGG